TTGTAACATTAAAAAGACACAATAATATATTATATTTCTCAGTTTACAAAAAAGTATATTAAGCTTTTCATTTTATAGAATAATTATTTTTAAATTAAAACTAGGAATTTTGACTTGATAGAGTAACCAATGAATAGTTGGGGTATGGTTGCAATTTGGCTAAACTTTAAAGATAATTTAGTCTTATTCAGTTTTGTATCCAAGGGGTTATGTGCCTAATTTCATATCATAGGGGAGTCATGTGCAAAATTCCAAAACCACAAGGGGGTTATGTGCCTAATTTCATACCATAAGGGGGTCATGTGCAGAATATCCAAACCACAGGGGGGTTAAGTACTATTTACCTTTTTTTTTTGCACTTTGTCGTTTCAAAAGCGTAGATAAATAAAAAAATAATTTGGGTATCCTAAAAAATATTACTAAAAATATTAAGTTACCTTCATTAGCTTTAAAAATTCATTCAAATCTTTGAATAATGTTAATCAGTTCAGATTTACGCTTTGAAAAAATCTTACGATTTGCAATTTGATTCTTACGTATGTTAGAAATTTAATTTATTATTTTTATGATAAAATTGAATTAAAAAAATATTAGACTTTCATTATAAATAGTTAATTCAATTAATATGTTCTTGTCAGTAGAAAATTTTCGAAGGGGATGTTCCAAATGCCATGGATATTGCAAATTTATCGAAGAAGTTGTGGAGCGAAATACATGAAGCCACAATAGAGGTTTTGCGCCCAAGAATTCAGAGGACTAACGAAGATGGGCGATGGCTACCCCCTAATCACGATGAAGTGAAACTAAATTTTGACGCGGCAGTGAATAATGTTGACGGCGTATGCAGCCTAGGTGTGATTGCAAGATCGAGTACGGGCGCATGTCTAGGATGGCTATCTAGAAGGATAAAACAATATTTGGATCCGGTATCGGCGGAGGCTAAAGCAGGATTAATGGCAATGGAGATGGCTAAAATCCACAATTGGGAAAATATAATATTAGAAGGCGATTCCTTAGTCGTAATATCAGCAATTAAAGATGCCTCGAGTTCTCGAGCAGAATATGGTAACATTATAGCAGATATACAGAGGTTGGGAGCAAGTTTACTGAAGTTTAGAGCTCAACACGTTCGTCGAAATGGTAATAAAGCAGCCCATGCAATTGCTTCTTTGTCGAAGAAAAAATCAAACTTTGTTCGTGAATTACCTGATGTGGTTTTGGATATTGTATCTTCTGATATGTCTTGAATAAAAGCTCTAATTCTTTCTCAAAAAAAAAAATTAATATGTTCTTGTCAATAGTTTAATTTAATGGATTCAAATGTTTGAAATTTTAACTAATTGAAAGAATTTGTGCCTAATTGATTCAAATTTTACTATTTGATTAAACTAAATATTGAAAGAAAAATTACAATATAGTATTTTGAGTATATAGTTTTATTTTAAAGTAAGAAAACTAATTTGAATGAGTTATAATCTATTGTTTTCTAAATAAACATCTTACTTTTTTTTATTTAAATTTGTCAGAGGATCGATTTAAGAACATAAGTGGGCTTGTATTAATTAGTAATGTATTTGTTTATATTTAATTGTATATTCTTTATATTCTTCAATAGTGGAGTTTATTAATATTTTTAATATTATATAATTAATGATAGATGGTTCGGGTATGACAACAATTCTTTATATTTTTCAAACTTTATTATATTATTTTTAATATTTTTTAATAATATTAATTAATCATAATGAATGTCGGAATTAATATTTTATTTAATATTATTTAAAAGTTTAATTTTTTTACTAATATATATATGTATATATAATTTATTGCTTTTGTTATCGTGTTCCTATAATTTTTAACAATTTAGTTTTATATAAAAAGTAAAAATAAGTGTTTGAAATTGAAGGAAACATAGAAAAATAATAAATGAGTCTCCTCATCTACTCAAGTCCATCCTCAATTGAAAAAAAATCCACTAGATTATACCTACAGAGTCCCCCAAATTTGTATTATCTAGTCCATCCAAAGTTCGAATAATGCAAAAAAAATCCTAAAAGATTTTAGTTTCAAATCTTCTGGTTTTGTCAAAAAAAAATCCTAATTCTTTTTCAATGGCGCTGCCCGCGAAATCCCGTAAATTTATTTGTTTTAATGTATATACGGCCCCCTAGTTATAAAACCCTGGATTTGTAATTGTGTCTTACCAATATATAAAATAATTATTAGATATATTTCAATAAGTTAATGTGCCCCGACTGTTAGGAGTGTTAGATGCACTAAGATGTCTCGAGTTTCGAACACGAGGTATCTCACCCTAAACAAACCCTTGTTTAGTACTGTCTTCGTCCTATATTTTATGTCGTTTTTTGTGGTTGCGCGAATATTAAGAAATACAATGAATATGCATAAATTATACCAAAAATAACATAGTAAATACTAAAATACTCCTGTCATTAATTATTTTTCGATTACCTAATTAATAGTGAGAAATGATAAAATTGAAAAAGGGGTCTTTAGCAATAAACCCCTTGGATGAATAATAAATGGTGATATGTCCAACCCTCAAATCTTTCTTTGTGATAAACCCCTACAAATATTAATTCCAATACTACCCATCTAAAATTATAAAATCTCCTACCCAATAATTAATAATTCCACGTCGTATTCCTTAAATAATGCCAATATAATAGCGATTTTTTTCCAACTCAATATCCGAGTTCCTTAAAATCAGCCAACTAATTAAAGAAAAAAATAAAAAATAAAATCAGCTCAATAACCGAGCTCCATAAAATCAGCCACCAAATCCAAAAAAAAAAATCTGCTTCATCACGTACAAAAATTAAAACCCACTAATCAAAACTTTGCAGACCTAAGTTTTTTATTTTTTATTTTTTATTTTTCATTTTTTTATTAATTATTTGTTTTAATTTTTTTTTAATATTTTTTTTAATATTTTCTTAAATTCTTTTTAAACGAAAAATTGAAATTTCTCCCGACAAGTTTACTACGCTGAATATGACTATAGTTGAATATGACTATAGCCGAATATGACTGTAGTTGAATATGATTATAGGCATATTTTCTTAATTTTTTTAAACAAAAAATTGATTTTTTTCCCCGACAAGTGTACTACGCCGAATATGACTACAGTTGAATAAGACTATAGTCTAATATGACTATATGTGACTATATAACTGTAGTCATATTCTTTCTTTATATTGCACTTTTTAAAAAATGTAACTTCAAAATTTCGATTATATAGTGCGGTAAAGTGATGTTTATCAAATTATATAAAACAACTAAGATTCCCTATTGTTTAGGGAAGCAATGCAATCAACATCCACACAAAAAAATCACAAAAAACCACAATTTGAATCTTGTTATTACAAGTCAACTTGAAACGAGAATAGAACATATTCGAATATGACTACAATCATATTCAACAATAATCATATTCGAAAAATACATAAATATGACTATAGTCATATTCGAATATGACTATAGTCATGTTGCTGCTACTGTACATATTTGAACTGTATTTTCAGATCTGGAAGAAAAGAAAAAAGAAGGAGAAATCGAAAAATACATAAATAAAAAAATTAATAAAAAATCATTATATATATATATATATCGACTCCAGTAACTCAAGTATGATGATGGGCTCTCTCTCTCTCTAATATTCAAAACCACACACAGTCACAAGGAAAAAAATTTAAATGCCAAAAGGCATCTTGAGTTGCTGAGAAGCTTTCAAGAACACGAAAACAGAAAGTAGCAAAAAAAAAATCGAATAGTCACATTCGAACCAGACTATAGTCACGTTGATATTGCTGCTTCAGCTCTGGAGAGGAAAAAAAAAAAAGAAAAAATCAAAAATAACGAAAGGAAGGTGGTGTGATGTGTAGGAGGCGACAACATGAGTTTTTTGGAAGGTTTGACACCGTAGCAAGTCTTGACGGCACAACCCTCGTGAAAAAAAACTCACCCTCACTTGACGAACAACAGCCAGACAGAAGGCAAGATCATTGTTCGTATCCATCCCCATATCAAAGTTCTTTCACATATAAACACCAAAAAAATAGTAGCAATTCTTTTTTGCACCAAGACAGGAACACCGAGTTGTGTGAGATTGAATTGAATCTCAGAGGTTGAGAGATCAATGTTTCGTAAGCGCAAAAAAGAAAAAAAAATATCGACAAATAATCATATAAGAATCGAGAGGTGTCTGTAATAATGTATGATGTTACCCTAATTGTGAGAGAACAAGAGGAGATGGAGAACATAAAGAGAGAGATATGGAGATATAAAGAGAGAATTAATGGAATCCTACAATCACGTGAGAGGTTATGGAAAATAAATATTGTAATTATTTAAAAAACACTTACTTATAAGGGTAGTTTCGGCTTATCACATTTGTTGAGGTGGTTTCACTAATTAAGATTGAATTTTGGGTTTTGGCAAAAGTCGCAAAAGTCAAATGGATTTTAATCATAATATTTTCCATTTGAGGGGGTATTGCATATTTCCCCATTGAAAAAATGCAATTAAGACTTTAATGACAAATAATTTGGGAAAAAAAAAAAAAGACAAATAATGTAAAATAGAGGCAGTAGTAGTTATGATGTTAGTCACACGCAAAGTTATGCCTTGATGGGCGCGTGAGAAGAAAAACGTGATGGCTGCTATTGGCTACGCGAATGCATGGCGTCATTTGGTTTACGTCAGCCATCGAATCCTATGGTCGAAAATGACTTTGATTGTATTCTCCCATAGTCTATATGTAAATAAAGATAGAATATTATAATACTATACAATAATGAATGCTAATTGCTAAAGTAAAGCCACCAGTTATATATATTCAGATATAAAAGTATAAATATATTCGTCGATATAAACAAACAAGGAACAGAACGACCATATATCCCAAAAGTCAAGTCGTCGTCCTCTGTAAGTATATATATATATACATAATAAATCTGTGAATGCTTACTTAAGAGAAAATGAAGGAAGAAAGGAAGAGGAAAAGGGCAGGGAAGAAGGTGGAGTGTAGTAGTAAGGCCGATGATGATCGAATGAGGACTAGAGAAAGAGAGTCGGCGGCGGCGGTGGTGGTTCCATCTCCGACGGAGGAGGAGGTTGACGAATTCTTTAGTATTTTAAGAAGGATGCGGTTGGCCGCCAACTACTTTCACAAAGGTAATTTTAGCACTAAAGATGGCGGCAGCAATGGGCGGCAGGATACGCCGATAGCTGTGGACGGATCGAAGTCCGTTGCCGGAACTGGATTAGATCTTAACGCTGTTCCAGAGGCGGAGATTAATAGTTTATAGTTATCTAATATGTGCGGATGGTAGTTACTTTTCTTAATTATTATATTGTTTAAGTTCAATAAAGTTATTGTACAGCTTAATCAACAGTTACCGTCCGATAAGGCTGGGAATCAATTTACCCTGTTCTAATTATTCTGCAACATTTTCTCTAGTATTTTAATTTAATGTATTTCTATGAATACAAATCGTATTTTAATTTAATGTGTTTCTATTGTGCCAGCAATATTTTCCAATGTTGTGAGAACTGGAACGGACCGGTCGGACCGGTTCGACCGTGGTCCGGCGACGAGGCCGTCCGATCTGACTTCTAAAATCGATAAAGCTGAAAATTGGGCTCAAATGACCAAAATCCAATTCGACCGATAAAACCCGAAAACCGGTGAATCGGTCAAGGAACCCGGTTTTCGACCAAAACATCTCAAACCACCATTAAGTTTCTTATTTGTGGCTAAATTTGAGGGATCCCCCACATACTTAGATGTGGGTGGCCGGATCTAGCATAGGTCGTAGAATAATTGCCGGATATAATCATGGATGGCCGAATAGAGGTGGCCAATTGCCGGATATATATGGAAAATAAAAAATTGATAATATAAAGTGTAAGCAAAGAAATATAGTAAAAACTGGGTGAGGTTGATAAACTGGAATAACAGGTTGAAGATTAAAAAAATAAAAAGAAAATAAGACAAATTACGGTCACCCCTAAGTATGGCCAAATTACGAAAAAAACTCCTCTTATTTGGATAATTACAGCTACCCCTTCCTATTAAATATTTTTACATAAAATTTAGCTAATTCGGTTATTTACCGAAGCAAATCATATATTCAGTTCGGTAAACAGTGTCAAATGTTGGCGTACCAAAATTTTGGTTCGGGTTTACCGATTTAACATCCCTAATTTACCTCTGGAGGGGTATTTTCGTAAGATAATACATAGTTGATGGGGGTGGCTGTAATTACCCAAACATGAGGGAAACTTTCGTAATTTGACCGTAACTCAAGGGGTGGCCGTATTTATACCCAAGAAAATAATACTTGTAAAACATTAAAATTAATAAAATAACAACATATTAAAAAAAATCAAAAACTCAATTGAACCGATTCGACCCTATAGAACCATGACCCAAATGATCGTTTGTTTCTGATATTTTCTGTTAACTAAACAAGCGCTAAGACGACTGGGTACATTTATATAACATCATATATCTAAAGAATTCAATTCCTTTCAATTCGTGTAAACTAATATAAATCTAATACATCAAAGATTTATACAAAAGGTTGTATAAAAACTTGTGTAGAAACGAGTGTTACAACGGAATTAAATCAACACAAGTTTTAAATTATTATCCACAAATATAAACAGTATTCAAAGAATATAAAGAGAGTAGCCAACATCTTCTCTTAAACGAAGAAATCACAAGTTTACTTTGTAAAGTAATTCCTAGAATCTATGATGATATTGTTTAACAGTTCTCTAGGAATATAAATCAGTATTCAATGATATTGAATACAAAACAGACTCAATTATGCATTGAGAGAATTATAAGAAAAATTAGGTGTTGTAGAAAATATTCCAACACCCGAAGCTTTGTACTCTCAACTTTCCGTAAAAAATGTGAGAAATGAACTGAGTTCTCCTATTTATAGAATCCAATATATCCTTGTCATGCACGAAATAAACACACTATGAGAGATAATGGGTTAGTGGATTAGCGTGGTAAACGAGTCGAGCCGGCTCGACAAAGGCTCGAGCCCAAATTTAGTTATTCGATAGCTCGCGAGCTGCCTTTTTTTTATTTATATATATATATATATATATATATATATATATATATATATATATATATATATATATATATATATAT